GCTGACGTAATCTTTAGTCAACTGCTTTCTCCTCCTCATTGTCTCGATCATGGTTGTGACTATATGCAGAAAGATAATACAAGAATAAACTCTGAACTCTACTGAGATACACTGAATGAAAATAATAACTATCGTATGGTTCTTACGTTTTTCCGGAAACTATCAAATGATATAAAAATATCCCTTACCTCAGGAAAGTATAAATTATATATTTTATATGGTATGGTTACATGTTCAACAGCATCTCCATTTGGAATTTAATTGCCTTTATAGCTTGCTTCCGGTAACAAGTTGACATATTTGGCTTGTGCTACAGCAATGGCAACTTCGCTGGTTATTCATCAGGTTCTTGATGAAGTTCTGATTTTTGTCCCTGGATTCTTGTCTTTCATCTAGGCCATTAGAGATGGAGTTGTCTCCTGAAGAAGAGATAGTTATCTCCATGCACCTGGATACCATCAGGTCTGGTATTTATATATCTGTTTTGCTTGTTAATTGTTACTCATATCTGCCATTCTGAATTACTTTGTGGAGATACTATTTAGCTGGCAACTCTGCTGTACTTTGAATGAACTCATGGAGCATTTGTATTTTGATGCAGGTCGTGCTCTATATAATGCATAAATAATTATAGTTGTGTAATTTTATCTTGTTTTCAGAAATATTTTTGCACATTTCTCAAGATTCTTGGTTAACATTTACTCAGCGCATGTTGATGGTTACTGTTTAGTCATTGCTTACTGTATATAGGTATCGGGACACTTACTGTTTGTTTCTTTGCTCATTTATCCTCTAGGCCTAGGGTGTCCTTTTTAGCTCTTGTGGCGAGTTATCTTAGAACGTTACTGATGATGTGATTGATGGTTTTATTTTATGTGGACTAATTGTGATGAAATCCACATTTTGGTTTCTGGTTCCTGTTCAGGACATCCTGGTGGGATAGAGTTTTTTCCTTTAAACTGAACGCTGATATTCATTCAGTTTTTCCTCATCAGGAAAAATGGATTTTTGTTGGAAGAAGACATGCATGCTCCTCCTGGACAGCGCTTTAAATTGAAAGCGGTTCCTTTCAGTAAAAACATAACTTTTGGGGTTGCAGGTAATATTTGAAAGATTTCATACAAAAGACAGTATTTCAGTGGGATTCCTTGCCTACTTGTTTGAATGGTGGGTTCATATGTAAGTGTGCGAAGGCTAGATGACGGACCCAAAATAAATCAAGACATCTAAAGCCATGTGAATATATAGAAATTAAAATTTACACATCCAGAGTGGCATCATAATTCCTCTTGACCTTTCATCAATAAGAAATGTGCATTTAAAACTATATACCATGCTGATGAACATACTGTGTTCAAAATAGTCTTCAGAAATCTAGAAATTGGTCAGTCCCTGTTTTCTTTTGGGCAAGTGTTAACGGTAAATGTAGTAAATATGGTATAACATAGACTGGTTACCTAGGTTGATTGTCAAATGATTTTCACATGACGGTAACTGTGAAAATCATATCATATAATGAGCGTGTGCAGTAATGAGGTTGTCTGTTACATATGGTAAACAGTAATTTTTCTTTGGTTTTACCACAGATGTGAAGGAACTTATTTCTATGCTATCTGATAATCATGGAGAATGCTCAATAATTGGTAGTTACAGATCGGACACTTCTGACTCAGTTTGCCCTCCTAGAGTTCGAGCAATGCTAGCATCGCGTGCCTGCAGGTCGTCTGTTATGATTGGAGATCCACTTGGAAGAAATGAGATGCAGAAGGTATCTAATAATTATTGCATTTAGAGATGATTCTAAATCAGAAATTAGACCCAAACCTCACCTCCGCACGGGATCATAGACCATCTTTTCAAGAGCCTGAACCACCCTAGATCATCTTTAGGCAACTAATTTCAAATTATTGAGAATGAGGCTTAGTTTTTTAATTCCTCTCTCTACCTTGTTCTTATTTTATTCACCCCCACCCCTATTTTGAACGCTAGAATTAATTGTTCTGTGTGGCGATTACTTAAGCATGCCTATTGGTGATTTTTATCATCATTGCAGAGCATAAAACATGGTTCATATTGCTCAAAGTTCTTGTATTTGATTGTTTCAGATACTTGAACATTTGGCTGTCCTCAAGTCTCCTTGGAATTGTCCACACGGCAGACCAACAATGCGACACTTGGTTGATTTAAAAACTGTACATAGAGGAATAGATGATGACGAAATAACCTCATAAAGGCCTTCCTATGATTCTCTATTGGGTATATATTTTGTTATGTTTGGTATGCTAGATTATGTAGAATTTGAACAAGATTAAGAGGTGCTTGTAACAAACTTGTCAAACTTGTCATTTCAATATACCTAACCCACCATTTGTGTATATAATTATTGCTCGGTATATTTTTAAAGTCAACTTCTGTCACCTCTATGAATTTTACTGGTTATAAAGTTGAGCATGCTTCAACTTGTAAATACGAAACCCACAAGGCAACTTTGACAATAGGCACAGCTTTCCATTCTTCTGTGGATGTCAAACTTGAACTTTAAGTTGTCATAAATAAATATCCTCCCCAAAGATGGTGGCTTTTAGGATGTCTGCAATTTGCAGCTATTGTTTATAAGGCTCAAAACCTATCTTCTATTGTGAAGATGTCTGATTGCGAAGCTTTGAGTATTTTATCTGGATCTTGGTTATTGACCATGTATGATATTTTCGTCTAGCATTTATGCCTGTAATGGTTGAGGTCTCAGTTCATAATGGGCAAATTTGCTATGTCAATGAAATCTTGCCAGAAGAGCATTCAAATTGACCTTTTGCCAATGCAGTCTCATGGTACATAATAAGTTGGTTTAGTACATTCTCATCATAAATTCATAATAAATGATTAGTAATTATTATAGGTTTGGATGAAAATGATAAATAAATCTTACTAGGTATCATTATGCTTTATGATATTAAACATTAAATGATAGGTTTAATGTCATAAAGTCCTTTTATTTAACCTATCATTTAGATTGAGATTAACACTCCAATAGGGCTAAATAGTATTATTCTTTATGTTAAGGCATCTATTCTCTCTACAAAAGTAAGTGTGTGTGTGTGTGTGTGTCTATATATATATATATATTTTTTTTTTTTTTTAAGAAATCCAGAAGAAATTTAAATTGGAAAAAAAATATTGATTTTTGATCAAAATTCGATAAAATTAATGGGAGATGGATTTAGGGTCTCAGTTCGATAACTCGATCAAGATTCGAATCCAATAATCTGTTAACTAAATGAAGCAAATATGGATATAGATCAATTCGATCCGATAAGAACTTGTTTCGATTTATTATAATAATTGTTGACACACTAAAAGTGTAGCTCAAATCGAATAACCCAAAGAATGAAGCCCAACTGGGCAATTCAGGATAAAGGCCCAAATAGTGTTATTAATTAATGCAGTGGAAGTCCAAGAACGCGGTAACACCACGCCCAAACTTGCAAGACGCCCAAGATCTGAGCGAATGAAGTGCCTTGCAGTCGGCCAGAGTTATGACCTTGTTTTTGCCCAAACCTTTGAATCGCCCAGGATCTTAGCAAACATAAGATGTTATAGTTATCTAAAAGTGCAGTTATCGAAACAATTATTGAGTAATCTTATCACCTTCCACGATTCAAGGAGTTCGGTTGAAGACGGTTGAATGACAAAGAGTAGTGGCAGCAGTTAGAGACGACAGTTCCATGATAAGTTGGCCACCATGAAGAAAGTGGACAGTTATAAAGCAATTAAGCAGTTTCTAAACGGTTGATCACGAAGAGATCATCAAGAGAATATAAAAAGAAGAAAAGACATAGAGCAAGGGACCCCGAATCAAACACTCTCAAACAGAGAATATGTAATTTCAATTTCTTTACACACTTGACTTATGATCGCTCTGGTGTCCTAACGGGTGAGAGGAAGACTGCTCGGCAATTTGGCACCACGGTAACTGTCAAGAAGTTGTTCTCCAATTTGCCAGTGAGGTGCAAAGAGTTCAGGAGGAATATCCGTAAGGAGTACGGAAAACTGATCACCTTATTGAATGTGAGCCATTCTGTTTATGCACACTGCTTTTATCAGTTGATCGTTATACTGATGCTGGTATTTAATTTCAATGCACAATTGATTATTCTTGTAGAAAACCCAAAATGGTTGACTTGAGGATTGACTAGTAGGAGTGTATTTAATTTCAGTTGGGAGATTAGTCACTTGGAGATTCTTTGTAACAACTTTATGGTTAAAGTTGGTTTGTGGCATTCTTTGGGATAGTGTGATAGTAAACTATGGTCCTGAACTGAGGTTTTTCACTTTCACCCGAATCAGAAAATACTCATTTATGTTTTATTATATATGGAAATATGTAATTCACCCTACAAATGTAAAGCAGAGTTCTGAATCCATCAATGTGATTGTAAAGTGAAAATATTTGCTTTCTGCTGATGAATTAGTAACAATGCTGCTTCTGGTCCTGTGGTGCTAAACCCTTCTTTTACGAATATTGGAAGAAATTGCTTTGGTCTACACAAGTTGCACTATTTCTTCAAGTTGAAGAATAGCTGATCTGGGATAATTAATTAATCTTTTGAGAAAATCTAAGATTGACTTGGTCTCTAATGTTCTTTAATAGGAAGATAAGTCAGGATGTTGCATCTATATATCATGTCAACTGTCAAGTCATCCTGAAAATGATTCTATCTCTATTTGTGTTATTTGTATTTGCTAATTGGATAAGCTTTTTACGTATCTGTCATATAGGCATGTGTTCTCTCACTATATTCTCTCTTTCTCCTAATAAAAAACCTGAAGACACTTTGAAGGGGAAAAAATAAATGAAAAGAAAAGGGAACAAGGAAAACCATTGAGTATCACCACAATTGAATATTATATTAAATTTCAAATAATTTTTTGCATTCGGATGCCGGCAAACCTCACTTTTTATGAAACTGTGTATCCTATAGTTTGTCAAGTGTTGAATAAGAATGTGTGAGGTGTCCCACAGTACTAGCAACTTTGTTTCCTCACTTAATCGTTGCATTGTGTCCTTTTTTTTCCCTTTATCTGGCTTTGTTATTGTGCGTTCTGGTCAAGAACGTGTTTCCTTTCATTTCCCAAATAGCCCTTCTTATTGATGCATTGTGTTTTCAGGCATATGCTCTTATTTCTAAAGGTGTTAGATTAGTTTGCACCAACACAACTGGTAAAAATGTTAAGTCTGTAGTGCTTAAAACACAGGGTTGTGGATCTCTCAGAGACAATATTGTCGCATTGTTCGGTATGGGTACTGTTTCCTGCTTAGAGCCTGTGACAGTTTGTATGTCGGACGGTTGCCTAGTTGAAGGTTTTGTTTCCAAGTCTGGCTATGGAAGTGGGAGAAGTATGGGAGATCGGCAGTTCTTTTTTGTTAATGGTCGACCAGTTGATATGCCAAAAGTTGGCAAGATTGTGAATGAGTTATATAGAGGTGCAAACTCCCGGCAATATCCTATTGCAATCATGAATTTTACTATTCCAACTCAAGCCTATGATGTCAATGTGACTCCTGATAAAAGGAAAATATTTTTTTCCGATGAAAGTTCCATTTTGCACTCGTTAAGAGAAGCTCTGGAGAATATTTACTCACCAAATCAAGCTAATTACCATATTAATAGAGTTGAGGAGCTTGATGAAAAAAAGCATGCTTGCGAGATTATCTCCCCAGATAAAAGCTCTCTGTTGTCACCGAAGCAGTCATCTCCAGATGGTGGTGTGTCTCAAGCCGAAGCATGCTCTAGTAAACAATGTGCAAATAGCAACATTATTCTCAAAACAGCTCAAGGGGACGTCAAACATTCACCTATAGAGGAGGTGACTCATAGCAATAGTGTTTGTTCTACCGTAAAAGACTTTACTCTTAGAGTTCACAGTTACAAAAAGAACAGCTCTGCGAGCCCCAGTAAGCAGCTTATGAATTTTAGCTATGCGAAAACTGACGAAGTTGCTCCTTCCCCTTCAAGACCTGCACAGAAAGTTAGCACTGATACTAACAAGTCAATGGGACAAGCAAGTGTTGTTCAGACATCACTTGACAATTTTGTTATGGTAAATAAGAGAAAACATGAAAGTATCAATACAGCATTATCTGAAGTTCCTCTCCTTAGAAATGGACCTGCTTTAAGTCGATCAAGTGAAAGCAGCCGAGCAACGTATTCTGCACGTTCAAGCTCTCCATTTAATTTTATTGAGATTGATGATTCTGATAAAATCAACTGCAGTGAACCTCAATCTGCTAAATTTTCCAGAGTTGACAGTATCTGTAACGAAGCTGGCACCACAGTTTTGTTTCCTTTAGCTTACAAAAACCAAAATGGAGAAGTCAGCCAGGTATAGAATTCTGCTTTTAGCATAATCGAAACTTAATTGGCAAGATTTTGGTAAACATTCTTTTGATGTCAATAGAACTTTGTGGTGCTGCCCTTCTTACGTATGTTTAACCTTGATTGTACGTTTTGACGCATTCAATTGAAATACAGACTCAAATGGCTGAAGAAAAAGCATCACTACATAATGGTTTGCTTGTAATTTCTCCCACAAGCACACACTTCCAAAATGTATCAGATGAGTTATTAGGTGCATCAACTCCATTGCAATCTTCAGCTCCATCTACAGATTCTACAGTGGTTCCTGCTGGCCCAGAAGTTGGTTTCAAGTTGCAATTCAGTATTAAAGATTTGATGACAAGGAGGAAGCAGAGGATCTCAAGACTTCATCGTGCCGATCATACAGCTGGAAGATTGAAATTGGAAGGGTATTTAAAGGAATTAATTCTCAGTTTAAAGAAAAGATTAGAACAACTATCTTTTGAGTCTCACTGACTGAGTTTTAAAACGAATTATAGGGGTTTCACAGCGGCCACATTGGAGCTCTCACAATCAGTAGATGAGGGCGGAAAGGACAGGGCTTTAGCAGCTGCTACGAATGAGTTGGAAAGACTGTTTAGGAAGGAAGACTTTGCCCAAATGAAGGTTCTGTACTCGTTCACCTGTATATTCAACTCCATACATTAGTGTTTTCTTAAGGTGATGTTTGTATGATAACTAATAGTTTTGCTTGACAGTTATCTAATATGGTTAGTGCTTTTAGTTCTTTGTCAAAACCTTCTTCACTTTTAATCCTACTATCCTGTTAGTGATATCCTTATATAAACCAACCCTGATTCTTCCTTCTCAATTGAAGCCTACTGAAAAACTCACTTGGACTGAAAGTAGAATATGTGCGTACTAGGCTCTTGAAAAGTTCACCTGCAATCTAATTGTTAAGTAGAATTCATACCCAGATGAAGCCTTTACATATAGTTTGCTTGAATGCTTTGAGAAAATTTGTGCATAGCTTATCTTTCTTGCCGCTGGAACGTATGGAAAACATGCATAGGCAAAAGTGCTTTATTCAACTAATGTAAAAAGTGCATCTAATTTGATAGCAAATTTAGAAAGAAGCATCAAATACCTGATATATTGCTGTATTTGTAAAAATTGATTTTTCAATTGCTTTTTCATTATCAGCTTCACTAGGTAATATGTTCTGCTTGGTGAAATTCAAGTTGGAGGCGTTGGGCAACTAGAGGATGAAATATCCATAAGATAAATGTACCAGGAATGAAGATGTTAAGATGGGTGTTGTGGTTATGCTACGACAGATGAAATAGAAAATGAGGATGTACGCTAACAGGTGGGGTCATTACTAATTGAGCTTAATAATGGATGGGCAATTTAGGTAGTTGAAGTGTCTTTCCCTGACATAAAGGAGCTCTCATTTAATAAGTGAAGTGATTCAAGTAGAGCAAGCTAGAAAAGGAGAGGTAGAAAAGTTAACATGGCCTGATGTCGCTAGCTTTGATCTTTTGGGCCTTTCATTAGATGTAGTACTGGATTGAACTGGCATAAAATGATTTATGTACTCGACTCCAAGAGTATACTTTATATTGATTTTATCTTAAAGAGTATAAAAATGTTATTTCCTTTTAATCATTAGTTACCCCTCATATGCAGGTCATTGGACAGTTCAATCTCGGATTTATCATTGGCAAGTTAGATCAGGACCTTTTTATTGTGGATCAGGTGATTTACCTTGCTTCTTAATGAAAAGTGATAAGGGATAAACATTGTTGTTATATGGTTTAATTTTTTAGCTCTTGCATTCTTTTTCTGGAGTAATCAAGATTTATTGATTTACTACTCTTTCTATCAGCATGCTGCAGATGAAAAATACAATTATGAGCGGCTGTCACAAACAACCATCTTGAACCAACAACCCTTACTTCGGTAAAGGAGTTTAATTTATTGCTTTCTGTGTTATTGTGAATTAATGTATTCATAGTGTTCAATGTATCATCAATATACTTGTCATTGGTTTACTTCTCACGTGCAGTGGTTAGCCTTGTCTAAGGCATCTTTCATGAATTTTACTTTACTATTTAGAAGAAAATCTATTTACAGCGGGTTGTCACTCTAATTGTGGCTGACGTAATCTTTAGTCAACTGCTTTCTCCTCCTCATTGTCTCAATCATGGTTGTGACTATATGCAGAAAGATAATACAAGAATAAACTCTGAACTCTACTGAGATACACTGAATGAAAATAATAACTATCGTATGGTTCTTACGTTTTTCCGGAAACTATCAAATGATATAAAAATATCCCTTACCTCAGGAAAGTATAAATTATATATTTTATATGGTATGGTTACATGTTCAACAGCATCTCCATTTGGAATTTAATTGCCTTTATAGCTTGCTTCCGGTAACAAGTTGACATATTTGGCTTGTGCAACAGCAATGGCAACTTCGCTGGTTATTCATCAGGTTCTTGATGAAGTTCTGATTTTTGTCCCTGGATTCTTGTCTTTCATCTAGGCCATTAGAGATGGAGTTGTCTCCTGAAGAAGAGATAGTTATCTCCATGCACCTGGATACCATCAGGTCTGGTATTTATATATCTGTTTTGCTTGTTAATTGTTACTCATATCTGCCATTCTGAATTACTTTGTGGAGATACTATTTAGCTGGCAACTCTGCTGTACTTTGAATGAACTCATGGAGCATTTGTATTTTGATGCAGGTCGTGCTCTATATAATGCATAAATAATTATAGTTGTGTAATTTTATCTTGTTTTCAGAAATATTTTTGCACATTTCTCAAGATTCTTGGTTAACATTTACTCAGCGCATGTTGATGGTTACTGTTTAGTCATTGCTTACTGTATATAGGTATCGGGACACTTACTGTTTGTTTCTTTGCTCATTTATCCTCTAGGCCTAGGGTGTCCTTTTTAGCTCTTGTGGCGAGTTATCTTAGAACGTTACTGATGATGTGATTGATGGTTTTATTTTATGTGGACTAATTGTGATGAAATCCCACATTCTGGTTTCTGGTTCCTGTTCAGGACATCCTGGTGGGATAGAGTTTTTTCCTTTAAACTGAACGCTGATATTCATTCAGTTTTTCCTCATCAGGAAAAATGGATTTTTGTTGGAAGAAGACATGCATGCTCCTCCTGGACAGCGCTTTAAATTGAAAGCGGTTCCTTTCAGTAAAAACATAACTTTTGGGGTTGCAGGTAATATTTGAAAGATTTCATACAAAAGACAGTATTTCAGTGGGATTCCTTGCCTACTTGTTTGAATGGTGGGTTCATATGTAAGTGTGCGAAGGCTAGATGACGGACCCAAAATAAATCAAGACATCTAAAGCCATGTGAATATATAGAAATTAAAATTTACACATCCAGAGTGGCATCATAATTCCTCTTGACCTTTCATCAATAAGAAATGTGCATTTAAAACTATATACCATGCTGATGAACATACTGTGTTCAAAATAGTCTTCAGAAATCTAGAAATTGGTCAGTCCCTGTTTTCTTTTGGGCAAGTGTTAACGGTAAATGTAGTAAATATGGTATAACATAGACTGGTTACCTAGGTTGATTGTCAAATGATTTTCACATGACGGTAACTGTGAAAATCATATCATATAATGAGCGTGTGCAGTAATGAGGTTGTCTGTTACATATGGTAAACAGTAATTTTTCTTTGGTTTTACCACAGATGTGAAGGAACTTATTTCTATGCTATCTGATAATCATGGAGAATGCTCAATAATTGGTAGTTACAGATCGGACACTTCTGACTCAGTTTGCCCTCCTAGAGTTCGAGCAATGCTAGCATCGCGTGCCTGCAGGTCGTCTGTTATGATTGGAGATCCACTTGGAAGAAATGAGATGCAGAAGGTATCTAATACTTATTGCATTTAGAGATGATTCTAAATCAGAAATTAGACCCAAACCTCACCTCCGCACGGGATCATAGACCATCTTTTCAAGAGCCTGAACCACCCTAGATCATCTTTAGGCAACTAATTTCAAATTATTGAGAATGAGGCTTAGTTTTTTAATTCCTCTCTCTACCTTGTTCTTATTTTATTCACCCCCACCCCTATTTTGAACGCTAGAATTAATTGTTCTGTGTGGCGATTACTTAAGCATGCCTATTGGTGATTTTTATCATCATTGCAGAGCATAAAACATGGTTCATATTGCTCAAAGTTCTTGTATTTGATTGTTTCAGATACTTGAACATTTGGCTGTCCTCAAGTCTCCTTGGAATTGTCCACACGGCAGACCAACAATGCGACACTTGGTTGATTTAAAAACTGTACATAGAGGAATAGATGATGACGAAATAACCTCATAAAGGCCTTCCTATGATTCTCTATTGGGTATATATTTTGTTATGTTTGGTATGCTAGATTATGTAGAATTTGAACAAGATTAAGAGGTGCTTGTAACAAACTTGTCAAACTTGTCATTTCAATATACCTAACCCACCATTTGTGTATATAATTATTGCTCGGTATATTTTTAAAGTCAACTTCTGTCACCTCTATGAATTTTACTGGTTATAAAGTTGAGCATGCTTCAACTTGTAAATACGAAACCCACAAGGCAACTTTGACAATAGGCACAGCTTTCCATTCTTCTGTGGATGTCAAACTTGAACTTTAAGTTGTCATAAATAAATATCCTCCCCAAAGATGGTGGCTTTTAGGATGTCTGCAATTTGCAGCTATTGTTTATAAGGCTCAAAACCTATCTTCTATTGTGAAGATGTCTGATTGCGAAGCTTTGAGTATTTTATCTGGATCTTGGTTATTTACCATGTATGATATTTTCGTCTAGCATTTATGCCTGTAATGGTTGAGGTCTCAGTTCATAATGGGCAAATTTGCTATGTCAATGAAATCTTGCCAGAAGAGCATTCAAATTGACCTTTTGCCAATGCAGTCTCATAGTACATAATAAGTTGGTTTAGTACATTCTCATCATAAATTCATAATAAATGATTAGTAATTATATATTATTATTTTTTTTTTAAGAAATCCAGAAGAAATTTAAATTGGAAAAAAAAATATTGATTTTTGATCAAAATTCGATAAAATTAATGGGAGATGGATTTAGGGTCTCAGTTCGATAACTCGATCAAGATTCGAATCCAATAATCTGTTAACTAAATGAAGCAAATATGGATATAGATCAATTCGATCCGATAAGAACTTGTTTCGATTTATTATAATAATTGTTGACACACTAAAAGTGTAGCTCAAATCGAATAACCCAAAGAATGAAGCCCAACTGGGCAATTCAGGATAAAGGCCCAAATAGTGTTATTAATTAATGCAGTGGAAGTCCAAGAACGCGGTAACACCACGCCCAAACTTGCAAGACGCCCAAGATCTGAGCGAATGAAGTGCCTTGCAGTCGGCCAGAGTTATGACCTTGTTTTTGCCCAAACCTTTGAATCGCCCAGGATCTTAGCAAACATAAGATGTTATAGTTATCTAAAAGTGCAGTTATCGAAACAGTTATTGAGTAATCTTATCACCTTCCACGATTCAAGGAGTTCGGTTGAAGACGGTTGAATGACAAAGAGTAGTGGCAGCAGTTAGAGACGACAGTTCCATGATAAGTTGGCCACCATGAAGAAAGTGGACAGTTATAAAGCAATTAAGCAGTTTCTAAACGGTTGATCACGAAGAGATCATCAAGAGAATGCCTATAAAAGATGAAAACATAAAGGTTAGAACGTTCTCGTTCGAAGTAACCAAAGCTAACCTTATACTTGATAAATTATATAAAGATAAGCAGATAAAGTTGAGCGATAAGCATAAATTGCCAAGCCCTGAACAAGTTAAGGGTAAAAAATATTGTAAGTGATATAATGCATGGTCACATTTGACTAACAACTGTTTGATTTTTCGCCATGTGTTATAGTATGTCATTGAATCAGGACAAATTACATTCGAGGATAAGAGGAAGATGGCAGTGGATGAAAATCCTTTTCCACAGCCACTTGGAGTGAACATGGTGACGTCTGGTCTCAAAAACAAGTTTCCAAAATTCAAGTTGGTTATAGATGATGGAGAAGAAGACCTTGGACCACATCCTAGTATCTTTGAACGTATCAAAGAGAAGGAGTCCAAAAAGGACGAAGACGTCCTATGTGCAAGATGCAAAAAAGAAGTGAGTGCAAATGCAGAGAAACCAGGGATATGGCAGCATCACCATCGCCCTAGTTTTTTCCCAAATGCTCAGACTGGTAGAGGGCGGGGGTATATCGTTTTATAAGGGACCGCCTTTTGAAAGGCAGTTCAGGCCAGTAAATAATGGGAGAACATTCAGACCACAACCTCGCCAACCAAATGTATGGCATTCGTTCCAATATAAGGCTGGAAGGGCGATACCTTTCAACGAGATGACTAGAACCCAACAAAGGCGTTTTCAACGGAACTATGGGCGAATGATGAGGCAACAACAAGGAGTGCTACGTCCTAAGGCACATAGACTACTCGAGGCAGCCAATCAGAATGTTCTCAAAGGCAATGAAGAGACTAGTACAGGCGAACCTATGGAAGAATTGCCAGATACTTCTTCTGGGAGGTCGAAGTTTGAGCGAGACAGAAGGAATGGAGAAGATCCAGATCAGTCCCTTACTATTCAGTTTGGTTCGTTACCTCCTGTTGTGGCTAATAACTATTTACTAGCCAATGAGTTCAAGAATAAAGAGAAGGGAGAAGAAGAAAAGTAGGATAACGAAGAGGAAGCATACATGCTGGAATATGAAGAAGGCCAAACTTCTAGAGAGGCCTACAATGGTGAAGAAGATGATGGTATGACAGACATCGAAGAGGAAATCGATCTGGAAGCAGAAAGGAGAAGAAGAGGAGTATCTTACAATACTCTGTTGAAGCAACTACATCGAGAGGGAGTTCGTGAAGTAGACTTATTGGGAGAACCATCTGGGCGTTCTTTCGATTATTACGTGCTGTACGGGACGCCTAAAAGGAAGAAGAGAGTACCCCGCTCTGAAAAGTATGGATCACCTCCAAGAATAATGCCTCCTCCCACAGGTTGGGTAACTGAAGGAGAAGCATTAGAAAACAGTAAAAAGGAAATTCAGGAGATAGAGGCTCAGTGCGATATGCTGCACATTGACTTATCACAAAAGGGTAACTCGACAGAGGACAAGCAGGAAGTGGAAATAGATGCTGCCGAAAAGGTAATTTTTAAGCGATCAGCCATGAAATTGACCAAACACTTAAGGCCATTGTACGTTAAAGCTCTAGTTAACGGCATACCTGTGACAAAAGTGCTTGTCGATAATGGAGCAGCTATAAACACTATTCCATCTAGGAAGATGAGGAAATTCGTAAAAACAGAAGGTGATATGATCCCAACGGAAGTCATCCTGACAAGTTTCAATGGAGGAGCAACTTCAGTTAAAGGGGCTATGTCATTGGATATAAATATAGGAACAACTACTAGAACCACAGTCTTCTTTGTAATAGATGGTCCCACTAGTTACAATGTGTTATTAGGAAGAGATTGAATACACGGAAATCGCTGTATACTCTCATCGCTCCATCAATGCCTAGTTTTTTGGAATGACAAGGGCGAAGCAGAGGTGGTACAGGCTGATCATAGGCCTTTTGTCGTAGAAGCAAATTCAGTGGAAAGGTTCATGTACGAAGGAAATTATGGACCTGCCAGAGTAGTCCAAGATGGAGAAGAAACTCAAATTGTCGCGCAGAGTGAAGAGCCGTTTTCGGTGGATGCACTCACTGAAATGTTCAGTCAGATGAGGCCAAACATAGTGGCTCTAGAAGAGCCAGTAATTGGCAAAAGAGTAATCAAAAAGTTTTAAATGAGTTGTAAGCAACAAAGGCAAATGGCTGATATTCAGGCCTTCAAAGCCAAATTAATGGCTTTCAATAAAGAGTGCAAGGACAAGACGAAAGAAGAAGCGGTCTTGCAAGCATTGAGAGACAAATTGGTAGTGTTCGAGTTTGAACAAAGTATTGGCCGAGAAGTCAACAAGGTAGATTGTTTAGAAGAAGAAGTGCCTACAAGGGAATTGGACGACGAAGTGATAAGGATCCGCCAAGCCTGGATACGCTCAAGCACAAGACCCCCTGATTAAATTGAATATTGGCAATGAAGGAGAAGATCGCCCAACGTTCATCAGCCAAATGCTCGATCAAGAGGTTAGTGATAAATTAATCGCTTTATTAAATGAGTACAAAGATTGTTTTGCTTGGGAATATGAACATATGCCTGGTTTAGATAGAGATTTGGTAGAACATAGATTATCAACCAAGCCTAATTTTAAACCTGATAGGCAACCTCCTAGACGTTTCCCTCCCAATGTACTCCCTGAAATTAAGGAAGAGATTGAGCGATTATTAAAAGCAGGCTTTATTAGAATGGCCATATATGCTGAATGGTTGTCCAATATCGTGCCGGTATTAAAAAAGAATGGTAAACTAAGGGTGTGCATAGACTTTAGGAATCTAAATATAGCCACACCTAAAGATGAATATCCAATGCCCACGGTAGATTCTTTAGTGAACTCGACTGCCGGATATGTAATGTATTCCTTCATGGATGAGTATTCAGGATACAATCAAATTTATATAGCTGAGGAAGATATACACAAAACTGCCGTTAGATGCCCTAGGTTTTTAGGATGTTTTGAATTGGTAGTTATGCCTTTCGGCCTGAAAAATGCACGAACAACTTATCAAAGGGCAATGAATTTGATTTTTCATGATATGATAGGCAAGTTTGTTGAAGTGTATGGAGATGATATAATGGTCAAATCCATTAAAGAAGATGACCATTTTGAACAATTGAGATGTTCATTTGAGCGAATGAAGCAGTATAAACTAAAGTTGAATCCCTTGAAATGTGCATTTAGTTTTAATGCAGGAAATTTCCTTGGTTTCTTAGTACACAAAAGGGGGATTGGACTTGATAAAAATAAAACGAAGGCCATTTTAGAGGCTAAAACACCTAGCAACAAAAAGAATTGCAAAGGTTTTTAGGCCAAGTAAATTTTTTAAGACGCTTTATTTCTAATTGTGCGAGGCAAACTAAAGCTTTTTTGCCGCTTTTAAAGTTGAAAAATCAGGACGAATTCGTCTGGAAAGAAGAGCATCAAAAGACTTTTGAAAGCCTAAAGACATATTTATCAAATCCACCAGTGTTGGTGTCACCAATCCAAGGACGGCCAATGAAAGTATATGTATCAGCTGAAAAAGAATCAATAGCAGGAATGGTCGCGTATGAAGACCAATTTGGTGAAAAAAGGGCGATTTACTACTTGAGTAGACGGTTAACAAAATGTGAATGTAATTATTTTTCCATTGAAAAATTATGTCTTGCATTGTATTTCACATGTGCAAAATTAAGGGCTTATTTACGACCCGTAACCGTTTATTTAATTTCTAAAGTAAATTTGGTTAAGTATATGTTCTCTCGCCTTATTTTGCACCAAAGGTTAGGCCTTTGGATATTAGCTTTATTAGAATTCGAAATTCAATACATACCCCAAAAGGCAGTAAAAAATCAAGCTTTGACTAACTTTCTGGCCGATCATCTATGCCTTGATATGCCTGAAGAAATTGAGTTAGAGATCAATTCATTCGAATTAAAACCTTGGGTTTTATATTTCGATGGATCGAAAACCTCTAAAGGTGCAGGAGTAGGAGTAGCATTGATAAATCCTTTAGGAATTTGTTACAAGTTCGCATTCACTTTGGATAGGATGTGTACCAACAATCAGGCCGAATACGAAGCAATGGTCCACGTAAAGTGAGTGCTTGGAAGATTAATCAAGAGAAACAGAATTCTTTTCCCAAGCTTCTACACAACAGAAAAATCCTAGTAATCTGAACATACCTGAGTAACATCATCCATATGAGATTCCTCCAACACAGCAACCTGCTTCTTTGTCCTCCAATCCCAGAAGAAAATCTAAATAACAATATGTTTGAAAACTGCATGAGTATGTATAGCACCTAGAGGATTGATTATTATAGAGAACATATCCTAATTTCTTTCAATAGGCAACCTATACCTTTTAAAACATGATTATGAGCTAGTTACCTCATTCTCCGTTGGTATAATACTGATTAATAAGGCCCAAGTAGTGGACTTACGAAAAATGAGAGTAGAATCATAGTGCATGAGGTATTATATTTTTCATCTTTCCACTTCTAAAATTCAATCAGGCAAGACAATCTCTTTCCAGAGAATTTCATGCCCCAGCAAAATCTAAAATTAAGTATATAATTCATATAATTAATTTAATAGCGAAAATTCTCCATCCGTTAAAAAATAGTATTACCTGAGAGTTACACCCTGCGGTGAGAAGATTGTTGTCAGCCCCGCCGAATGAAAAGCTGAACACCTCTTGTGAAGGACCAGCGCTTATAGAAAAAACCTGCAGTGCAACTATAATTTACTCCACGTATACAGGAAATAAATGTACAATTATAAAAATACCCATAAATATACTCTTGTAATTGTGTGCATACCTGTTGGAAAGACCGGGTGTCCCAAGCTCTGATAGTACCATCAGAAGATGAAGAGTACAATATATGCGAAGTCGATGGACCAGTAAAGGAAATTTCATTGATCACAGAAGAATGACCTTTAAACTCCCCTAGGTACTGCCCAGTTTGCGGTGAGTACAATTTCACGGCGTTTGTCGAAAGGGACACCGCTATGGCCGTCCAATCATCCCTTGACATTGCAATTATACATAATTACTCAAAATAATAAAAATTTAAGAAGAAACACAATGTAAATTCGTATATCTTAAAGAAAACAGTGAAAAAAATTAATACTTGGGAACGATTTGAAAAACGTAATCGTCGCCGAAATTCGTCTGGATAGAGTTTTTGAGACCGAAACGATTGAAAGTATTGGAATTAGGAACTGAATTCCCTCCTTCTACTTCCATTTCTTCACAAATCTCCATTTTCTGGCTCTATTTTGTTTTGTATTTCTTTTGCAGCTGTTTGTGGCAGACGAAAGCTGAAGCTAATTAGGGTTTAGGGTCGAGGTTTTTCTCAAAGGTTGGACCCCACCTTGAGTCCCACTGTACCGTCTCAAGTGAATCATGAGGGAGGTAAACCGCTAAATGTGCTCTACAAGCCAGGAAATAAAAGTTTGTCTGTACATTAATGCCCAGAAAGAATTCAATTCCATATCTCAGGAATCGAATTTTCACACTGCGACTGCCAGCAATGCTGAGATTACTTCACTCTTGTCCTTTACACCATTAGATTATGTCCCAGGGGCAAGGTTGGGATTTTTCTCGCATGTATGGCTGGTTAACTTGCTGTCCATTAACTTGTTGACACATTAATTTATTTTTTTAATTTTATTTTGTGTAAAAGAATTTTATTCGCACTTCGTAATTATCCTTTTAACGAATTATGGTTAAAATGTCATTAGTTTTTGCCATTGAGAGACATGATGAGTTTTTTAAAATTTATTTTTCTTCAAATATATTTTCAATCATATATTTATAGAATTCACATTTTTTATTTTGAATTAACCCCCTCAATAAATTATTATTTAAACGATTCCTAAACATTTTAATTGATATTATTTTTTTGTCAACCAAATGGTTACTCTATACCTTTTACGTACACATAAAAATAATATTTTTATTTAAACTTACTTATGTGCTCAAAAATAAACTTTTTATGATGAAAGAGATAGTGTGGAGAAATAGAGAGGCATGATTGTAGTGTGTAAAAATGAAGAAAGAGTAAAGAGGGCTCTATGACATAATCCTCCACGCCACGTAAATTGAGGAAAAGTAACAACACGTAAGATAAACGACGTCGTTTCTTTCTCTCAATAAAAAAAAGTTACAGTGAGACAAAATGGAAGAATCTACTATTCTTTCTATAGTAGTGAAACATTACCCTTTTTATATAGTATATATATATATATATATTAGGAATTCACAAATGCTATCTACTTATTCATTTTTTTTTATTTTAATTATTTATAATTTAAACAATTTATAAATGCTTCTCAAACATTCTTACTCTTTTCAGGATTGAGATCAATTTGTTACTCAATTAATAAGTTGGGGCTAGTAGTGCAATTATTATTATTATTATTATTAACGAGCATCTTTGAGTATCATTATAAGGAGTACCAAATATTATACATCTATAACACTTTATTCATTGCACTTTAAAATACTTTTAAGTGATCGGTGTACTATAAAATACTGTACCCATTATTCACTCTTCATATTTTAATTGAACTTTAAAATAAGTTCGAGCGAGAGATTGAACTTAACACGTCAAAGAATTATGCCCACTAATCTTTGTTCATACTTATCAAGGAATTATGCCCACTAATTCATTATTTCTTTACAACTGTCTGGTGCGGCTCAATTTGTTCCTTACTCATCAATGTATCCAATTCCAGACACCTTTACTGGACAAGTTTTGCAAATCCTTCCGCACGTGGTTTTGCACTTCCAATTAAAGCAGTCGTAATCTCATCAATATTTATAAATTGAAACAACTCAAAAACCCGATAATCCGTAGAATTTGATTAAAATTCAAATACTACTCAGTTCGATTGCAGAAATGGAGAAATCGGCGATGGTAGTGGGGCTTGATGACAGTGAACACAGCTACTATGCTTTAGAGTGGACTTTGGAACACTTCTTTTCTAAAATTTCGGAGAATTCGCCGTTCAAGCTAGTGATCGTGCACGCTAAACCTTCTGCAGCATCCGCCGTCGGTCTAGCTGGCCCCGGTATTCTTAATTAACTTTTTGAATTGTTGATGATTGTATAAGTTAATTAGAGTGGATTTGTTAAAGTTTTTTTAGTGATTGTAATTTTTAGGTGCCGCCGATGTGCTGCCGTATGTGGATATAGATTTGAAGAAGATTGCGGCAAGGGTATTGGAAAGGGCTAAGGAAACTTGCACTGCCAAATCGGTATTGAATTTCAATTTTTTTTATTTTTTATTCGTAATTAGAAGTTTATTTTGCAGAGCATGTATCAATTGAATCCAAAATTGATGAAGATGGCCAAAAATCTTTAGAAATTATTGGTAAAACTCTATCATCTAAGACCCGGAGGCATGTGGAACATCAGTTATGCTTTTTAGTGTAGTGAATTTGAAGCAAATCTGATGAACAAGCAGCTTAACTATCCACATATAATTCATCGAATTTTTTTATTAGTATTTTCGCTGGACTGTGTTGGAATACTTCTAAAGTTCTATACAGTTAGGCAAAAACTTGCAACTTTTAACTGAGATAGATCCATTCACTCTTGGTTAGAGAACCACATACTAGATCGCAAGAATTGATTGTACTCGGGCTCACTAAACGCATAGGTTTTCCCAATATATTTGTTACTGAATGAGCTTTGAAGTATACACCTTATCTCGTGCACATCCTCTATCGGCCAGTCAGCCGAATGTTTCTGTAGCTAAAATTTACAGGGAAAAATACAAATACATTTTTGCCTCTCAGTCTCAGGGCATGACACAATACCTCCTTTTTCTTCTTTTTCTTTCTTTCTCTCACTCACTCACCCACTCTCTCTTTTTTTTGGTATAAGTGTAGTCCATTTGACCATCTAAGATTCTAAATTGGCATTTTTCCTCAATTTCCAGAAGTTGAAAGGTGTTAATTATCATGCTTATAGTTTTCGTTCTTATTACCTTTTAGCTATTTTTATCTAAATTTCTAGAATTACAGCCTTTAATGGTGAAACATGAGCCTGGTTCATTTGCATTCTTGATTATCCATTTTAAGCATCCGAGTTTGTACAGGTGAATGATGTAATATTCGAGGTCTTGGAAGGGGATGCAAGGAATGTTCTTTGTGAGGCCGTGGAAAAGCACCACGCCTCTATTTTGGTTGTTGGTAATCATGGATATGGAGCTATAAAGAGGTAAGAAAATTCTTCCATCAATTATTTATAAATCGGTTAAATAATTCCATGGAAAAGCACCATGCCTCTTTTACATATTTTTCATGGAAAGAGCGAGTGTTTTTTTCTCCAAGTGAGAACAAAATGTCCTCAGTCATCTGTCCGAGTGAATTCCCGCAAGCGTACGGGTTCGTTGTACAAGTAATAATCGTGATGAGAGAATTATCGTCCCACAAGGAATAAGGATCAATTTTAGTATATTTGATATATTTAATTCGTATTTGTAACAGAAAAAAACGATCGAAGGAATAGCTAAATAGTTTTTATAACTAAAACTTGTGAAAATAATTAAATTTGGTTTAAAGATTCAAATGTGTAAACATATTGGATTTCCGACGTCATTGATTAATTCTTAGTTCTAATTCTCAACCAATAATAATTATCTCAATTTATGCAATTGCGACGATCGATAATTTCGTTTATTTATTTATTTATTATTATTTCCCAAGATATAATAAACCTATGATTACCACGAGACGATCCTATTCCTAAGTCGAATTCATATAGCAAACATGCATTGACAATTAGAATTATCATATAAGATCGCACACGCCACAAATACTATTCCTAATATTTATTGCCTATGTGTCCCAATAATAGTGTTCTACTTATCGTGAGTTTTTCAACACTACGAAAAAACAACTTATTATCCTAATGATGCGCAAACATTAAAACAATCTAATTATGCATATTATTGGAATCACAACGCAATGATTAACATAAAAACATAGGTCTCGAATTAAAACTAAAAATTAAACAATTTTGTCATCATCCAATACGTGAAAAGACTTAGCCTAACATAATGTTGAAATTAAAAACATAAAAGTTGGAAGATATCACCAAATAATAAGACGGAACGTGACTCATTTTTGTCAAAATAATTCTGCCGCCTTTTTCAATATCGTGATTCTGTCTCCTTTTCTTTTCAGCTGGTGCGTTTCTGAATTTTCTTTGCGTAATTCTCCGTGTTTTGATTCCTAAAGCAGCCGTTCTCTTGTCGTTTGCCAATTTCTGGTCTTGTCTTTGTTTTTGCATGTAATTATGTTGGCTGCCACTCTCTCCAATTTCCTCCAGCAGCCGACCAGTTTTTATTTTCCCAACTAATTCTAATCTCTGCTCGTGTTTTCTCCAATCTGCCGGCACCAATGTGTAAATACAAATAATAGAATTCAACCCCAGCCGGCAGCCCCCTCAATGTGTGTGAAAATTATAATCATGGCTCCTCCTTTTTTTCTACATGTGTTTGTATATATATACCTCAACAAGTAAACCCTTATTGTAGCCCAATTAGGGGTCCAAAATAATATTAAGTTTGAATTCCAGGACAAGTCCAATTGAGGCCCACGTAATAGATTATTTTTCTTCAAGTCCTCAATTCTTTTAATGTGCAAAATTTGATCTCCAACTTCCATCCAACGTCCAACTTAGTCCACTACTTTAGATTGTTCCATTTTTCGCCCTTTTTGTGTCTTTCTTCAATTCTTCGTTCAAACATGAGTTTTACCTAAGAAAAATAATACAATAAAATTTTAGATCATATTATGCCAAAGAACAATAAAATTATATAGTTTAGAGCCCCGAATAAGTGTATATACACTTATCATCATCCACTGCATGAATATATGGATCTCTAAAGAGAGGAGGAGAAAGAAACTCTTGGAACATCTCTGAGAACTTTTTACAATCAGCTGATGAGTTGCTGCTGCAATTGCTCTTGTAGGGCTGTTTTGGGCAGTGTAAGCGACTATTGTGCGCATCATGCTCACTGCACCGTGATGATAGTGAAGAAGCCGAAGATCAAGAACTAATCTACCTATCATGAAGTGAATAATTATTGTTCGATTGTATCCATTTTCAAGCTACTGTAATTTTGTCCCTTCCATGTTTGAAGTTGTAATTCCCTTCTACTCAATTACTATTATTATTGTCTCCTTGTTCTCCTCCTCCTGGATGTAGAACTTGATAAACTGAACTAGTTTGTGTATTTATTCATCTTCATGCTCTAGAGTGAGTAAGTCATTTTTGAAGTCGATGTCTGATTAATCAACGCTTTAAAAGATCTACAGGACTATGAATGGTTTGATCAATGAATTTATGATTCTTTCTTCAACTTGAATTAACATTTATTTTCAAGAGTTTGCATCTCTCTCGTATTTAGATCAAAATGGTGTAAATTAATTATACTTATACGTTTTGGGAATATTCAATTATTCCAGGAGTAAATAAATTATTCAAATTCATGTATACTCATTTATTTTCAAAATTATTCATTTAATTTATGATATACATTTATTCTTCAAATTCATATGAACATCCTTTTGACTAATTTTTCTTTTGAAGATTACATGTATATAAATTATTATTTTCTATATTTATTAATTCAAATTAATTAAATTTCATGTTCATAAATGTATTTGATTGTTCTCACGAATGTTAAGACGTAAATGAATTAATTTATCAGCTATTTAAAATGTTTTCACAAATTGGTGTAATTTCATTTCAATCATCAAATATTTTACTCCAGCATCATGGAATCAAAGGCTATAAGCAATTTATCGACATACAGAAATGAATGGTCTATTAAAATGACAATAGTTCGCAAGAGTTCGGTCAAATTTTATTCCAACAACGCTAGAAATTTTAATATTTTGAGATCCGTCCTAATTGACACAAAGGTAATACGTCTACTATAATGACTATTTATTTTGCAATTACATTATATATAAAATGTCTTTAATTTAATCTTAATTATCAATTATTAATTTATTTTTTTCTCTATTTATCATCTTCAAAGTTGAGGTAAAACAATTCTTGAAATTTTTTTCTGTGTGAATGCATGCAGACACGAAATCTAAATTAAATGCCCAAAGTCATATGACAACTGTAAATATTTTAATTAAGTCACATATCTCTAATCACACAAAATATATATAGTGTACAAAGGGATTCACATTGAATAAAAGTTCATTTCACGTAAACAAATTTTATATTTTTTATTCACGCATTTTCAAATAATACTTTTACAGTACTTATAAAGCATTTCAGAATGCACGTTGACCTCTGACTAGTCATATGAAAAAAATACAATACGTTTTTCATTCATCCTTTTTAAAGTTTTGATGAAAACATTCCTCTACAATAGCAATTAACCAATTTGTTTCCATGTAATACACACAGCCACACAATGTGATTATTCATTTAATTTTTTCTCACTACACTTGAGTATCAAGCTTGACCTCGAGTAGATGAAATAAAAAGGAGAACTTAACCTATCCATGGAACAAATGCGTTATCCCCAACTTCAGTAATAGCATTTGAGCTTGTGCTTTTCCCTTTCAAGAAATTTGAGTACCAGTGTGCAGAAAGCTTCGGATATCTCGTTAGGTTCTTGTCATCCAAATCAACGTAGAGAAGGCCGAAGGACGTCCCGTAGCCATCCAACAACTCAAGACAATCTAAGAACGTCCATGCGAAATATCCCCTCGTGTTCGATCCATTCCTTCATCCATTTCAAGATGAAAATAAAAATTTAAGCAAGAAAATAAAAATTTGACCCAAGTTGAAATCACACACATACCTTATAGCATCAAGCATGCCCCCAATGTAAGCACGTAAATATTCTACTCGTGACTTGTCATAAAGTGTTCCGTTGCGTCGTGTCATCTGGCCTGCCAAACCAATTTAAGCTGAGATTTCTAGTAGACGATTGTCTTCTCAGGTTAACTAAAGCATGTATCAAAACTCCAGTACATTAACTTCAGCAAAAGATAGAATTGGAAAAGTGGACCATAACTTCTGCAGATTTACTTGGCAAAGAGGGTAAAAAAAAAAAAAAAAAAAAAAAAAAAAACCGGCATTACAGCTCGGCTATGTACTTTTATACATTTCAATGGCTTGCTTGGTAAGGCAAACTATATTAGCACTAGACAATATGATAACATGAAAGTTTCTATAATACATTCTGTTTTTCTAGTTCAATGCTTTATTGCTGCGATCAGAAGGTTTTACCTTTTGGCTCTTTCTAAGCAGTGAGATAACAACTAATTAGATAATGTGCAATTTTGTATATATGAGCGTGGGCATATGCAAACATCGAGTGCATTGTGGAGAGAGCAAGAGGGGACAGAGAGAGATACCATTTTCATGGACATAAATAGGTAGATTGCCATAAACTTGTTTTAGGTACTCCAGAACTCCATAAAGACCCCAAGGCATGATAGCATACTGTGCCAAACAAAAGTGTTTTGAATATAGAGTCAGTCAAACCAAAATCATAAAATTATATTGAGATTTCACCTCATCCGTCGGTTCGTTGCCCTGATCATCTGCAGAAACCGAAAAAAGAAGGTAAGCTCTTCTGGAGGAATAGCATTATCTGAATGATAGATTGCTAACTGAAGCTGAACTCAAACAATCAGGAAAATAAGCTCGAAGAACAAGAGGAACTGAATAATGAGTAGAGACTAATCAATTTGAGTTAATGAAAAATGGTTGTCATACATATGATCTTTACTGCCATATCATCATAAAAATCCCTGTTATTCATTTTGAGGATGCTGGGCTTGTCCTTGATGTGTACTGTTGTATAGTGGTTCACTCCTATGAAGTCAACTGATCCCTTGATTTGCTTCGACTCATATTCGGTAAAGGCTGGAAGTCTCTTCCCGACATTTTTCTTTACTATGTCAGGATAGTCTCCAAAGATAACCGGATCAACTAACCTGCAGCAAATATTAGACATGGGTAAACATACCAAGTCTCCACATATGAGACAGCTAATTGTCAAACCACAGGGTCTTCGTATATATGGGAAAGCAAAAATGCACAATATTTCCCAACCTAAAGCGCTCATAAAATCTTGGTTTCTAACCTTAAGGACGGACCATTTTTCCCCAACTTTCCGTTACTGTTGCACAAATATTCCCCAGCGACAAGAACTGTTCTAGTCATGCGGGCAAAAAGAAGATTCTGCTATTGGGGACTAATTATGCAAATCTAATGAAAGGTTGCGATCAACTTTCTACTCAAGCATTGGGGAACAACTGTGCAGTTTTCCTTAAATAGGAATAGTAGGTAAACTTATTAGCTACCTAGCCAAGTTATGCAACTTACCAACCAACATAGAAATCCTTAGCTCTTTGAGTTGCAATCACATCTTCTGTTGAATTTGTATCAGGAATAAACCATAATGTGTATACGTTCAATCCCAGGAAACCATTTTGAGTGAACTGCATTAAAACATGTTATATCCTTAAGAAAGTATAATAAATTATAGAAACTCTATGACGGAAAAAAAGGACAAACAATAACCTTGTACTTCTTCCTGTACAGTTTTGTAGCAGCTGAATGTGCCAGCAAGATATTATGTACCACGATATATGGCTCAATTGAGGAGTTACCCGTGGAACAATTAGTTCCCAATGATGGTGAACAGCGTCCTGGGGCAATGATTCCGTCGTTGTAACCTCCCAGGGCAAATATATTGGCTTCATTAACGGTTGTCCAATACAAAACCCTGTCACCGAATTCCCTAAAGCACGTGTCTGCGTACACCACAAAGTCCTTCCTGGAGTCACAAGTGGATAAGTTTCTCTAGAATAAATTGTACAAGTTTCCATGGCATGTAGGTAAAACTAGTAGAGGATGTTTATATAATAAGATAAAACTTATAAGAAAACGTACACAATTTTGCGACTAAGCCATCCACCATATTCATCTTCAAGTGCTTGTGGTAGATCAATATGATTTAATGTAACATGTGGTTGGATTCCTGCACCATTACACAGTTTTTACCTATGGGACAGATCAATTCATTTGCAATGTTTAAGGAAAAATGTATCCAGAAGAAAATGCAATTGTCACCATGGCTTATAAGTTCGTCAATGAGATTATTGTAGTATTCTAGCCCTTTTGGGTTGATAGGTCCTCTTCCATCTGAAGACAGTTGACATCAATCATCATTTGAGTAAAAAGTATGATAATGAGCAGGTTTCTTCTACAGCATGATGCAGGTTAACATACTAGGAATAAGCCTTGACCATGATATGGATAATCTGAATGCCTCCAAATTCGTGTCTACCATTAGCCCAATATCTTCCTGAAATTCACAGTATGCGTAGTTTTCTCTGACTTGCAGATTTAGGCAAAAATATCGAAATTTCTAGTTCATAACACAGTCCAAACTAGAGAAGATAAAAGACAAGTAGAAAGAAGAACGTGGAGTGGAGCTACAATTTTCACATAGGGGGCGAGAAAATGTTGAAAGGGCAAAAATATACATCAATTTTGTATAAAGAAAATTACTACGAGCCTCTATTAATCTAAATATATTGGAAGAAAGCTTTTCCTTTATGAACACTATATTTGGCTTCACGAGACTACATCCTTCGACCAGATTTAGTAAGAAAGATGTTGACATCCCTAATCCACATCTAAACGAACAATATCCATATTTAAAGCAGAACTTCATTTGTACCTCACACAAAGAAGAGAAAGAAAAGCTGTGAAAATTAGACTTCGCAACTGTTTGTGCACCTTGTATTTGTGATATCCGTCACATGCTACATCTCCAGTAGCTCCATGAGTACGACCTGAAGTTACAGAGTAGGACAGCAAGAGATTTATAATTGAGAAGTAAGTCTCTTTTGATTACTGGGCTAGAGAAAAGTTTTAGACCAGAAAATTCACTTCACTGCTGCTAGTATTGTATACTAAACAACATTATAAGCTTAAAGCAAAGTAACTTTCTTGTCTCCAAACATAGCGCGTGTTTGGATTTTCTAATAAGTTACTTATAATCCTCTTATAATGAAATTGATCTCCTGCCCAGGCAGAAGATCAGGCCTGCTCCTTATAATATAAAAATTAGTGAATCCTATGAAATGTGGGAGTAATAAGTGAATAAAGTATAAAGAGCATGTGCTTTGAGTATAAACCGGAATGAGCAAAGATGTCCCAAATGCTAGGAGTCCTTCCATCATCGAACGCTGCTCCCTCGTACTAATATTCACCAATTGCGTTCGTTCATGCAAAGTTTCAAAGATTAGAATTCTGAAAGAATACCAAAAAAAGAAGAAAAAGAAGAAATACTGATTGGCCTCATCCTCACACTCCTATCCCCCATAAAAATTAAAAGGCCAATCTTCGTTAAGAGAAGCAGTTGATTAATTTTTTCATATCCAAGCAACCTGAAATTTTTACCCTCAACAAAACTCACAAAATGGTGGCTCATTTGGAAATACGAGAATACCAATATTGTAATTCGACTATTAGTGTAAGCTTATAGACGGTTCGTTGAACTTTTTGAAATTTTATCTTTACACGCTGATTATCAATCTTCAAGTCATTTTCGAGTAAAAGTTCAAGAATATCAGTCTAAACCCAAGAAAAACAGGATTTAAACATGCAAAAAAAAAAATGAAACTAACTTGATAAGCAGAAGTTCCAGAACCAAAAATAAAGTCAGCCGGAAAGTCTGCTCTGCTATAATCGCCGCCGTGCGCCGCCGTCGTCAGCAGAAATAGCAGGGAGAGAAGGGAGCTTGCTTGTAGCAACATATCCTTATCTAGCGATATCGCGTACCGTCTAGGACTCTAGCATGTTGTAAGCTATATAGAAAGTGATAATTGTAGTGATGGTCCCGAATCCTTCAAATTTTTGTAGATTTTATTCTTATCTTTTGTTTGCTGCAGTACCAATCTCAACTTTCTTCTATGAGACTATGTCATTTCAGTAGTCATTTTACCCTTTTTAAAATTAGTCAAAATATGATCAAAGTCAACTTTCTAGGTCAACTAATGATCTTTTAAACAGAAATCATCCATATGTTTTTAATAAGTCGCATAAAAATAAAAAGTTTGGAACCAGTACTGCAACAAATAAAAGGATAAGATAAAATTTATAAAATTTTGAAAGATTTGGAACCATATTTGCAATTATCCCTAATATAAATGTAGCCCCTATTTGCTACACATTTTCACTGGGTGTAAAATTAATTTTTGGATCATTAACACCATAACTTACTGAGTATGTGGGTCCACTGTCCTTAATTTTCTTTCCACTTTCCCATTCGTTTTCCCTCAACTACCCCACCTCACGATGAGAAACAAAACATCAACAATACCAAATGGAGAAGACTTAGGACATGATGGCTAGCCGGTGAGCGGTACATGTAATTTTCGACGTCGATTCCTTCAAATCTCGCAGGCGATTCACCAACTTCAAAGTGGTCATCCCACGTTTTTATTTCAACCATGAGTTGAGCCCTTTTTTTGCGTTCCGATCGACGCTTACAAACTGGGCGTTGACCGTCAGATAATCACTATCAAAGGCTCTACTACGTTGTCAGGCTTACTGATCTTCGTCGCTACATCCACTCGTTGTTGCCAACCTTCGACCGACATGGACTTGTCAATGAATTAGGTATCACCCAACTTCACTTCGCACACTATCCACGCTTTCTTTTCGAATTCTGAAGTCTTACTCTTTCTACCTTCTTCTCATAGTTCAGCAATGTCTCGCAAGCTACCTCGTCCAGAGCTGGGGCAGTCGCCTACGACTTGGCAACGAAAAAACATGCTCGATGGAACCCAACAGAATAGAGGGAGTTCATAGCAGCTTGCGAGACTGCCATCGCTAAAGGGCATAGACACGATTGGTGTTTCACAAAGCACAGTTGAGACCGTGTGGTTACTCTCCTCAACTCCGTAATGGGACACAGTTGGAGCAAACAACAGTTGTGCAACCATTGGGATTCAATGTGTCGAGAGCACAAACGATTGTCCAAGTTGTTGGCATGTAGTGGGGTCGAGTACAACCCGTCTACTGGTTAGGTTTTTGCTGCCAAAGAATGGTGGTCGAGAAAATTAAGGTAACGAAATCCTTATCCCACAGCCGTGATTCCCCAACTTAGATTCCATTAGTTCCAATTATGTTTGCACACTGCCTATTTGCATTTCTTGCACTAGCTATAGAGTAAACCGTTTCTAGTAGTTGTGATGCATGCTGAGGTTAGGGGTCTGTAGCTTGATTGGGGGATTTGCACGTTGCAGGTACTAACACATCCGAGACATGACAATTTATATGCATTCATAGGTCATGGTATTCTAGAAAAATTGAAAAGTATGCTGTGATATCTTGCCATCCATCTCCACTTTTCTACAGATTAGTTCCCTACTCGTTCAATCTACAAATTGAATGGAAATTATTTATTACATCACGTTCATATGGTTCCCCTGCCCCCAGCACACACTTTCACGAACTGTCGTTTTTTTTTTTTTCGGCAAAGCACATTGCAATTAGCTCTTTCAACTAAAGTGAATTGCATGTATTTTACATGTGTGCATCACTGTCTTGTATCTGAAATTCTTTCTGCTCCACATGCCAAGCTTGTAATTGTTTGTCCATTTTTCGTTAGGAGAACAAGGATTACAAAGATTTTAAAGACAAAGATGTAAGTGAGATTTACATTAAGCATCACCAACTATTTAGCAACAGTTATGATGTCGACAAGTACGCAGTTACCCGAACAAAGCTTTGTAGAATAGGGTTCGATATGTTTGAAGATTCTGGGCTAGATGACCTTCGGGACGCCATACTGGTTGATAGAGAAGGCAGTGGCTCGAGCGAAGAGGGCGACGAGGGTCGAGGCAAGTCTAGTGCCAATGTTTCCAACGCCCGAAGCAGTGAAAAAAGGAAGTCGTCCACGCATAATTGAAAGGGAAAGAAGAAGAATATCTTCGTCGACCGTGATAGTAGTGTCATTGAAGTTGTGGCAAAGATAAACATCATCATTTCCCTGAATGAAAATGCCGAAGTTGCTATCCATTGGTCGAATTGAGCTCTGAAAACCACTGTATTTCCACACCTATATGCTGCTGGCGCAGAAGCTATATCAGGACATGCTCGGTGTTATGAAGGATGCCAACGAAAAATTAAAGTGGATCGAGTGGCAGTTTAATAAATGTAACAGATCCTTGCATTAGTGTTTTCTTTTCTTTCCTACAAGCGTGTGTAATTAACTTTTTAACTTACCGAACACTTGGTGTAGTATCAAATGCATTCCATCATTTGTATATTGCCTTTGAGGGTGGCTTGTTATGTTATTATTTTCTTTGCATATCCGTTTACCATATTACGTTCTATTTGACAACTAAAAAATGCGTTGCAGTGCTTGTGTTAAAGGATTGTGTAATTCACGTGTTATAGTTGGAGAATCTTTAGTACTAGGCACATAGGTCAAATCTGAACTCATGCTTGTTTAACAGATGACAATTTCTTGCAACCTTTGTGTCAAAGTTTGCTAACTGCAATAATGGTACCTACCTCTCACACCTTTACAAATTGGAGTGCCCTAGCATAGAACAAAATATGTATAGTTGCAACAATTTCATATTTAGTTTTCCACTTCCTGCAATGTTCATTTGCTCCAGTGGAAACTCTTTGTTTCCTTCAACTTGAATGACACGATGGGTGATCTGGACTTCAACTGTGTGCTTTTCCCGTGCTCTAACGAGGAGGAAAAAGTTAGTGAAGAGAAGTTCTGTAATGCCCTGGTCGCGGATGTCACAACGTAGGCTGAATACTGTAGAGTAGCGTACATCGGTGCAAGGAACTACTATCGAGGATGTCTTCGTCGTATTCGATGATATCCATTTGCAAGAAACAGCCACATGTTCATGATGGAGGCATTGTGTCGTAATGGACATGTGTTATCAAGAATTTTGCATATACCCGCCCATGTTGCGATATTTTGGGCATGTGTTGCGCAACGAATACAGTTTATCCTCTAGTAAGCAGATAGATAT